CGAAGGAGAGGACAGCCTTGCAAAGCAGCAATTAAAACGCGGCAGGCTTAGACCCAGCCCTGACGCTTGGTTTTTTCCCCCAGGCCTGCAGCCCTCTCTGGTCCCACGAGTGCGGGAGCTCCTACTACACCACGGGCATGTGCTCCCGGGTCAACTCCAACTTCAGGTTCTCCAAGACGGTGGCTCCGGCTCTGCAGAGTACGAGAAACAATCTGCCCTGCGGCTCTAACCCCGTCTTTGAAGTCAGAGGGAACTTCTGTTCTCTAATCGCTTCGCTCCCATTGAGAAAACAAAGCGATGTCAGTGTTTAAGCGAAGGCAAGAGAGCAGAGGAAATGGTTGCAGGGAAGTGATTCAAAGGGGGTTACGTACACAGACATATGGTAAACGTTTTCCTTTTGACTGACACCCCGGGGAAGACAAAAAATACCTTATTCTTCCAAAGCCAGAAATAAAAGTATCCAGAATATTTTATCAGCACAGCTAGGAAGGCAAAACAGGGAAAGAATTCAGACCTTGGCCACACAATACAAAGAGCTCATTGACTGAAAGCTAAATATTTCGGCCCAAATTTGTAAATTTGGATACGTGATTTTGTTTTGAGGTATTAAATAAGCTTCCCGGCTCTCCCGTAGGTGGTAAGAAATTGCAGACGCCTGTCCTGCACCGCCGGGGCTCCCGGAGGCTCCTTGCCCCAGCCGGGCGCGGGGTGCCATGCCCCAGCTCCGCCACCCCTTTGGTGCCGGTTAATCCTCACGGCATAGAGCAGGGCACGGGAAAACGGGACTTTTTGGGGGGCAGAGGCAGTAAAGGCAGAGCCCACCACCAAATTCACAGTGCTGCTTCCCTCTTTATGGCCAGGAGATGCTTTTAGCCCGCGCTGCAGAGGGTGGTTGATTATTTGGAGAGAAGGTGGTTAACGAGCAGAGCGTTATCATTTAGTGAGCGGGATGAAGGGGGTCGGCTCCTCTCCCGGGGTGCTGGGAGGGACTGAGATGGCGGCACGCAGCTCAGGACGGCGGTGACGGAGCGACCCACGCGAGACTGCAGCCCACGGATGCGCTAACCCATAAATGCCTACCGTAGGTGAAAAGGGCAACCGATAAATACCTGCCATCGGGAAACTCAGCGCCTTCTGGTTTCCTGCAACTTTTCTAAATAACGTTATAAGACATAAGCACGATAGCGAGGTGGCACTGAGCGGTGTCCCCCGCCGAAAACCGACCGCCTAAATCCTTCGCAGCTCGCGCTGCGGAGCCGCGTCCTGGGGTCCTCGCTGGGGTTTCTGGCTGCCTCGTCGCTGAGGGTTTAACGGGAAGGGGAGGAAATGCCCGGCTTGCGAGCGCAGGCAGGGCTGAGGAGTGACTCAGGGGTAAAGCACGGCTCGGTGGGAGGGACGGAGGCCGGATCCTGCCTGCGCTCTTTGAAGTGTGCTGTTATATTAGACCGGATAGAGGTCCAAATCTGAATCAGAAAAGATACCACCGAGTGTTATTCTCGGAAAGTTATCCGGTCTTTTCTCAGCAGAGAGGATGCTTGTGGCTTCTCTCCACCTTGCTGAAGCCCAAAGGTCTTTATGAATGATTGAAATAAGATTTTTTTTCAAACAAATCGTAAAAGCAAGTACCCGACTGCGAGGAACGAAGCCATAAATCTCCCCTTTGCAAGTGTTGCCAAGGTCTTTCAATAACACACTGCGTATTTTTCACAGGATGCCAGACGTACATGGACATAATCATAGTTTTGGATGGATCGAACAGCATATATCCTTGGGTTGAAGTTCAGCACTTCCTGATAAACATCTTGAAAAAATTTTATATTGGTCCCGGCCAGATACAAGTAAGCCCCTGCACCACTCGTGCATCCCCTCGTGTCATGCAGAGTCCCCCGGCCGTGCTCCCGGGGCCTTTTCAACGTCCCTTTTCTGCCAATACGCTGTAAATTGGCGCCGCGCTTGTTCGAAATAAACTTTCGATGTACGGATTTTAAAGCTGAGCCCACGGAAATAACGCTGGCATTAATGTCCCTAAAGGAGCTATGGAGAGAGCAGCACCCCCCATCCCGACCGGGCACGGGGAGGATGAAATCGTATGGAAATAGAGGAGTTGCCCTGCGCCGAGGCAGCTTGGTGCAGCTGTGAAGAGCTCTCCATCCTCTTCTTATTAGTAATCGTGGGCGGATTTGGGCAGGGATATCCTCCACGGTTCGCCCAAATAACTCCGCGTTTGGTGCCGGCTAGAGATGCTGTGGGCCCGCACTGGGGCCGGGCACGTCTGCGTCACCCCAAACTGGAGCGAACGGGGACGGAGTGACTGGGTTTTAGCAGCGGCTGCGATTTCGTGGGGTTGACAAAGGGTGTTCGTTGCGTCGCAGGCCCTTGCTCTACGGCAGGTTGTTGGCATCTGTTGTGACATTCCTTTAATCCCTAGGTCGGAGTTGTTCAGTACGGGGAAGATGTCGTCCATGAGTTTCATTTAAATGACTACAGGTCTGTAAAAGATGTGGTAGCGGCTGCCAGTCACATAGAGCAAAGAGGAGGTACAGAAACCAGGACTGCCTATGGGATAGAGTTTGCTCGGTAAAAATCTCTCACCTTCCCGCTCCTCCTGATAATGAGTTTAAAATCACCCTTGTTTTTCTCCACTTTTCCTCACTGCTTAGAAAGCGGGGGAAACCACCAGGCTAAAACCGCTTTTGCAAAACCGCTTGGTCTTTAACCGATGCTTTACAAACGACGCTTTGCAAAACCGCTTAGCCCTCGGTTGCAGCTGGACCAGAAGGAGGGTGCAGAGGCAGGCTCTGAAAACGTCTCCTCTTTCTGAAAGCAGCCAGAGCTGAGCTCTCAGCCCCCAAAGGCACCTACCCCAGGCTGCCCCAGCCCAGCCCCGTCGGGGCTCAGCACGGCCCCGACCCACCGCTCCGACAAGCGCCTGCTCCTCCACTTTTTTGCCGCAGCCCGACCAGTACCTCTGCTGCAGGTTTAGGGCGCTTCGCTGAATCACAGGCTCCTCTCCTGCAAGAAACCAGCTCCGTCGGCGGAAAAATCCCCTTTTAAAGCCCTAAAATGTTTCCCAAGGGTCCTGCAGCCGACCGCGTCTCCCCGGGGGCTAGCAGCC